GCATATGATTCCATTTATATGCAGTGATCAGAATGGTTAAATATACTATATTGACAAAGTAGATTAGTGGTTACCTAGAGCTAGGGGTGGTGAAGGGATTGGTGAGTGATAGTTAAAGGGTACGGGGTTTCTTTTTGAGTGATGAAAGTGTTCTAAAATTGATTTGTGGTAATGGTTGCAGAAGTCTGAGTATACTAAAAACCAGTGAATTTTACACTTTAGCAGGTGAATTGTATAGTATGTGAATTGCATCTCTTAATAAAGCTGATACAAAAAAAAAAATCACTAATGGAACTGGAAAGGGCCTCCTAAAATACTAGAAATGTAACTAATTCATTCCTCAGGTAGCTTTCTTAATAAAATTGATCTTAGGAGAGGCCTTAGGTTTTCCTGGATGACAATTTTTGTATGTTCCTCCCCCCGTGCCCAACAAATTGAGTGCTCATTATATGTTTTATGCTTTTCTTAAGTCATTTGACACCACATTTTCGGGGAGTATATGGGGTTTTTTTGTTATCATTATTACTCTTCTGAGAAATTCTATTATGTGTTAGAAAAAAGTAATTTTCTATTTTAAGTATCTTTTAATAGACTTTCATCAATATTTAAGGCCATTGTTGTAATTTCACGTAGTTCTATTTGTTTATACCTAATGGTTTTCAAGGAATAGGTTTAAAAATTATTTTAAAAAATATTGGGGAAGATGGTATTAATACTCGTTTTTTTTTCCTCCGTATTAACTTTTGTGTAAAGGGTCTTTGTTAACGTTATGCATGTGCCCAACTAGTATATGGCAATTTAAGAGTAGAGGTACAGCTAGTAGTTATATGTCTAATTCTTAGTTGCCATGGAGTCAGCCCTGATGTACAGCGACCTTACGTATAACAGAATGAAACGTTGCCTGCTCCTGTGCCATCTTCATGATTGCTGGTATGTTTGAATTTGCCGCATGCAGAGCATGACACTGAATCCACGTGAATGAAATGGTGTGTAGGCATCCCCTGCTGTAGCCTCCTGCCATTTCACAGATCCTCAGTCCCTTTCCAGCACTCGTTTGAACGTTGTTTGCCTCACCTCTCGTTATTACTCCCTAAACGATACAGTACTGTATAACACCTGTTTACATAGCATTTAGATTGTATTAGGTATTATAAGTAATCTAGAGATGATTTAAAGTATATGGGGGAGGATGTGCATAGTATATATTGCCAATACTATGTCGTTTTATATAAGGGACTTGAACATCCGTGAATTTTGGTATCTGTGGGGGGTCCTGGAAGCAATCCTCCGTGGATTCCGAGGGATGACTGTAGGTAACAGAACATTTGCCATTTCAGCAATCTTCACGTGTACGGTTCACAGTTAAGTGACATTAAATATGTTCATTATGTTGTTCAGCCATCACCATTCCCAAATCTGTAAGGTTTTCAGTGGCTAATTTTCAGAAGTAGATTGCCAAGCCTGTCTTCCTAGTCTGTCTGTCTTAGTCTAGAAGCTCTGCTGAAACCTGTCCACCGTGGGTGACCCTGCTGGTATTTGAAATACAGGTGGCATAGCTTCCAGCATCACAGCAACATGCAAGCCAGCGTAGGATGAAGTACTGACAGATGAGTGTTGGCTATGTCTAATAATAGCATTTCAAATATCACTTTGCATCTGGCTTGTTGATATTAATACTTATGGAGTATCTTATTTGGGCATATTAATGGCTTTAAGAAATTTTTGCAGTAATGAAATCTAATGACGTTTCTTAAAACTTCATGGATTTTTTTTTTTACTTAATACTTATAGATTACATTTGAAACACTGCTTTATGGAATACATTACATAAGGAAGTGAATTTTAAAAATTTTGGAAGGAATTTAAGAAAGACTTTTAATATTTCTAAGTTTTTGTATCTGAATAAGGCTTCAAGTGTGGCATCAAGCCAGAACTTTGAAAATAAGACAAGTCATTTCCCCTTAATACATTAATTTTTTAAGAAATCAAAGTATTACATGCTCATTATGGAAGTAAACTATATATTTAGAAAAGCATATCAGTCATAAATGTTTAGCTTAATGAATTTTCATGAAGTCAGCACTTGTGTTACCAGATCAACAAAGAGAATATTACCAAGCACTCCAGAAGGCTCTACGCCCACTGGTAACCACTGTCCTGATTTCCAGCACCGTCCATTAGCTTTGCCTGTTTTTGAACTTTATATACAAATGATTTCCTACATTATGTACTCTTATTTTTTTTTTCATTGTACTTTAGGTGAAAGTTTACAGAACAAATAGTTTCTCATTAAACAGTCAGTACACATATTGTTTTATGACATTGGTTAACAACCCCACGACATGTCAATCCTCTCCTTTCTCGACCTTTTTTTTTGGTGAAAATATACATAGCCAAAGATAAACCGTTTCAAAAATTTCTATAGGCAGAGTTCAGTGACATCGATTACGTTCTTCCAGTTGTGCTGCTATTCTCACTTTAGATGAAGGTTTACAGAACAAAATAGTTTCTCATTAAACAGTACACATGTTGCCCTATGACGATGGTTAACAACCACACTACATGTCAACACTGTCCTTACTCAACCTTGGGTTCCCTAT